AAACTTAAAGTGGCTAAAGAAAAACAAACAAAGAAACTTAAAGTGGCTAAAGAAAAACAAACAAAGAAACTTAAAGTGGCTAAAGAAAAAACAAACAAAGTAACTTCCATACACAAAATATGATACGTGTTATTATAAATTTTTGAATGATTGTGACAAAACATTTTGGATGAATACCTTATACCACGGATCTGAGAAAGTTAATCTGACTAGCGTTGTGTCTACATTTATAAGTTTATTCTACCTTTACTTACTTTAAAACACGAGAATTACTAAAGACAAAAGACCAGCAGCAGAGTCTGAGACTGAAAACTTTTAAATACTCGTACTTGTTATAGATTGGTTTTGACTATAGACTATATACATGAAATGGAATGGCTATAGAAAACGAAAATTTTAAAAAGTTTTCTGTTCTTATCGAAATTTTTGTGAAGTAACGATTACTAATTTTATCGAATTTTTTACTTATCGAATTTTAATGAAAGAATGTACGTGATACCGATGTGTAAACTTAGTTACCTTATTGGCCAGTCTCTAAGCATATAAAATTAAGACTAAACTATAAACCAACTTACCAATGGTTGGTAGATATGATGTTCAGCACATAGAGAATCAGTACGACTGAATCTACGCCCACGTGTCTCCTTTGAGGCTAAGTCAGTCAGTTCAAACCTCCCCAGCACATGAACAGGCTAAGATTATCTTTGTAATTTATCCCTTAACGATTTGTAGCTGATTAATACAATATACAACTTTAACTTCATAAAAAATCTCGTGTTTCGCGAGTCACGTGAGAGTCCGCCTTATAATTGCTATTCCAGCTTTTATGTCCATTTAAAACCAGTTACTGTAGGTCGTCTACAATAAAGTGTAGGGCCTTAAGTAGTGGGTGTAGGACCTCTTAAATATTGGGTTGAGAGCCTCGTAAGTAGTGGGTGTAGGGCCTTAAGAAGTGGGTGGAGGGCCACGTAAATAGCGGGTGTAGGGCCTCGTAAGTAGTGGGTGTAGGGCCTTAAGAAGTGGGTGGAGGGCCACGTAAATAGCGGGTGTAGGGCCTCGTAAGTGGTGGGTGTAGGGCCTTAAATAGTGGGTGTAGGGCCTCATAATTAGTGGTGGACAATAAACAAGATATTATTGAAATACTACTGTTACAAAAGTAGAAGTCACGCGACCCTGGAAGCATGCGCGCTGGGGTTTCTAGAAGGATCATGACTGTTCCTGGCAACTCTAGTCTTTTCTAGGCCCCCCTCTATTTTACTATATAAGCTGGGCAAATAAAGCGGAGATAATAGCAGATTGAAGAGAGATATAGAGACAGATAATTGAGTCAAGTGAGCGGTAGCGACCGTAAGTAAAGTGCGCGAATCGTTGTGAATTATAGTATGTGTTTAAGTTAAAGTCACTGTGGAAATTCTGTATATTGCCAAGTTGTATTGAGAAAGAATAAACTAGTTTTATTTCAAGAAAGGACTTGTATCGCTGAAGTTTCTCGGGAAGAACTTATACCGGAAATTAACAAACGACCAGAGACGTAACACTATTATTATATATTATCTCTTTTAGAATCTCTCAATATGCTCATGTATGTACTTATTCACGTTAACTACATAACATGTATTTTTTTATTCAAACACAATTAATCACGTAACTTTTCTTCAATTATAATAAGAACCTTCACCTCTATCACAATATCGAATTTTAAAAAGATGATATTACATAATGTATACTTTTGTCTTAGCTTAGTGTCGAAGGACTGACCGGAAATATTCAACTTGGCGAAAATGGAGTTCGGACCAACTTCAGCCTGGATTTGATTGAACTCAAACATGATGGTTTCAAAAAGGTGAGATATTTTCTCCAAACTATTCATTCTTTTTAACGTTTACACATCAATGACGATATTTTACAGTACATGAATATTTAATATTTTCAATAACCTTTGCTTCTCTTATAGCTTCACGTTCACTTTCCTTTTCTTCTATGATAATAACGGATTTTTTCTCTTTCGGTAAACTAAGGCGAGATAGATTATGAACGTTATTTTCTCCACTCATTAAAAGTAATTTTATGTCGCTTCATAATGGCAAAGACCGTTCTCCCTGAGTTTTGTTCGTGTACAGAAGACGCGGAATTAAAAAGAAAAAATGAATACTGCTGCACATTCATATCATAGCCACCATTTGGTGGCTACAAAAATACTGCCACACATCCATGTTATAGCCAACCTTGTGGTGGCTACAAAACACTGTCACACATCCATATCATAGCCACCATTTGGTGGCTACAAAAATACTGCCACACATCCATGTTATAGCCAACCTTGTGGTGGCTACAAAATACTGTCAACACATCCATGTTATAGCCAACCTTGTGGTGGCTACAAAACACTGTCACACATCCATGTTATAGCCAACCATGTGATGGCTACAGAAATAATTACTTGACTACTAATATTTCTATGCACGAAGTATTTCGTCTCTCAGTGGAAAGCGGTACATTCAGAAGTTACAACGCTAATATCGGGGAATTAATTACCCATGGTGGATACAGTATGTAGCCTAACTTGTTTCTATATTTTATTAAACAAACAAACGAAGAAATAAACATATGCTTTCGCTCAATCGTAAATTAACGTCGTAAAGCTACATATTCATATGTTTAAACACGTGAATTAACGTCGTAATGCAACATAATCATACTTTTATACACGTGAATTAACGTCGTACTGCTACTTAATTATACTTTTAAACACGTGAATTAACGCCGTACTGCTACGTATTTATACTATTAAACACGTGAATTAACGTTGTATTGATACATAATTATACTACTATACACGTGAATAAACGTCGTAATGCTACATAATCACACTTTTAAACGCGTGAATTAACGTCGTAATGCTACATAACCATATGTTTAAACACGAGAATTAACGTCGTAATGCTACACAATCATACTTTTAAACACTGAATTAACGTCGCAATGCTACATAATCATACATTTAAACACGTGAGTTAACGTCGTAATGGTACATAATCATACTTGTAAACACTTGAATTAATGTCGTACTACATAATCATACTTTTAAACACGAGAATTAACGTCGTAATGCTACATAATCATACTTTTAAACACGTGAATTAACGTCGTAATGCTACATAATCATACATTTAAACACGTGAAATAACGTCGTAATACTACATAATAATACTTTTAAACACGTGAATTAACGTCGTAATGCTACATAAACATACGTTTAAACACGTGTTAAACGTCGCAATGCTACATAATCATACATTTAAATACGTGAATTAACGTCGTAATGTTACGTAACCATACTTTTAAACACGTGAATTAACGTAGTAATGCTACACAACCATACTTTTAAACACGTGAATTAACGTCGTAATGCTACATAATCATACATTTAAACACGTGAAATAACGTCGTAATACTACATAACCATACTTTTAAACACGTGAATTATTGTCGCACTGCTACAAAATCATACATTTAAACACTTGAATAAATGTCGTATTGCTACATAATAATACTTTTAAATTCGTGAATTAACGTCGTACTGCTACATAAAAATACGTTTAAGCGCGTGAATTAATGTTGTACTACTACATAATCATACATTTAAACATGTAAATTAATGTCGTACTGCTACATAATAATACATTTAAGCGCCCGAATTAATGCCGTACTACAACATAATCACACATTTAAACACGTGAATTAATGTCGTAATGCTACATAAAAATACTTTTAAATACGTGAATTAACGTCGGAATACTACATAATCATACAATACATTTAATCACGTGAATTAACGTCGGAATACTACATAACCATACTTTTAAACACGTGAATTAACGTCTTAATGCTACATAATCATACTTTTAAACACTTGAATTAATGTCGTACTACTACATAATCATACATTCAAACACGTGAATTAACGTCGGAATGCTACATAACCAATACTTTTAAACACGTGAATTAACGTCGTAATGCTACATAACCATACGTTTAAACGCGTGAATTAACGTCGCAATGCTACATAATCATACATTTAAACGCGTAAATTAACGTCGTAATCAAACGTAATCATATATTTAAAGACGTGAATTAACGTCGTAATGCTACACAATCATACTTTTAAATACGTGAATTAACGTCGCAATGCTACATAATCATACTTTTAAACACGTGAATTAACGTCGTAATGCTACACAATCA